TGTTTGAGGTTGAATGTAATCTGACAAGAGCGTGGGTTGATGGATGTCGCAGCGGAGTATGCTGAGATATGGCAGTTTGCGAGCCAGTTGGAAGGGCATCTGACGGAGGTGGAGGACTGGGATCTAGGAGCAGGCATATACATCGAGTTCTTGACGCTGAAATCCAGCTTCAAAGACACGTCGAATGTAGTGGAGGGGCTGGTATGTGATGTCGGTCAAGTCGCGCGAAGGGAGTTGATTTTGCCGTTCGAGTGCAGAGTGGAACACGCGGGGGTTGCCTAACCGGGGCGTTCGGGTGGGGTGTAATGCAGGAGAGTTTGGAAGAGAGGAGCTCAGCTTGTGGGGCGTTCTTCGAGCGGCTGAAGGAGTCGCAAGCAATGTGGAAGTCGAAGAGTTCGATCGAGGCCAGGTAAGAGCTGCACTGCATACGACTGTAGTGGCGACATGGGTGGCGCTTCATTTGCGAGTCGTGGGTGGTTTGATACGACATGTTGTAGTGCGTTAGGTTGTGTGGATACCGCAGAACTGGGAGGCGTGTAGAGAGGGGGCGGGATGTGGATTGTGGGGTAGGGGGTGTGGTAACAAGAGTGAGGGTGTTTGAACGCAGGGCGGCTTATTCAAAGATGGCGGACGAGATTTCGTTGTTGTTGTTGGAGGAAACAAAAGCACAGGCGTTGGACGTGAGCGCGGAGATGAAGATGTTTGACATTGTTCTGGATGCTCCCATGCCCGAGGACGTGCGCATGTGTCGTCTGCAAGGAGCTGTGGCAGCGTTCGCGAAATTGGTTTCCGAGGAAATTCTGGTGTGAGGCCCCACGATGTGGATGAGTGCGTGTCGCTGTTCGGGTAGGGGAGTTGTGAGGGCCCTGTGCAACGAGGGCATCGCATCTCGGCACGGTGTACATCAATTAGTTGAGTTACCCTTGAGTGCGTGGCGCGGTAGGAGATGCAAGGAGTGCGCATCGGTGAATCGTGCATGGTATGGAGGATTTTTGAGTACCAGCACGGTGAGCTGAGAGGTTAGCTGGAGGGAAATGTGAGAATGTAGTTGTAGGAATATTGTAGCAGGAAGGTTTGCAGGTAGCGGTGATGTAGTAGAAAGTTTTCGAGAGCTTTCACAGCGAGTATGTTGGGTGAGGCAGGTGTCCTCTAATATGGAGTTATGGAGAGAGGGGAACAGAAGGGGAGGTGTTGAATGGAGTGTTTTTTAGTTGGTTTGAGAGGTGCGTGGGGGAACCACCGGCTCTGTGGAGGTAGATTAATTCCAAAAGCCTACTCAGAGGGCAGCCTTGAAACCACTGGTGATGTCTCCTGGCGCCTGTCGATGATATTGTGCACAGCTTGCGTTTTGTCTATACGTGCATGAGTTCCAGTCCCCTGGGTGTGCGCAACCGGGTATATATGGTGTGGTGTAATGTGTGGGTACGTGCTGCTGCATAGTATGCGTGATGTTTTGAAATCCCAAGCTTGTTTCGGAAGTGGTGGGCAAGTGGGCATCAATGGGAGGTGCGAGGATTACGTAATGTGGAGTTGTCAGATTGGACTCACCAAGATTGACTGTGGAGCAGGGCACATGATGTGGGAGGTGCATGGAATCGGTAGATGTGCACGCAGCACCGGTACAGTGCTCTCTGTGAAACGGAAGTCGGTCACGGCGTCGAGCGTTGAGGGGAGCAGTCGGTTTTTGTGTTGCACGGAGATGTCGGACCCCCCGCACCGTCGGCAGACGATGCGTTGTGTCTGGCAGGTGCGCTTGCGAACCAGCGAACGTGCGGACATTTGTGAGATTTGGTTGTTGAGAAATCACCTGATTACAGCAAGGCAAGTATCAGTAGCGGGTGGTCAGCGGTTGAAGTGAGCGGTGCCGTCGTCGACCCCTGGGCGGTTGGATTTCGTCGGTGAAGACTCGGTAGGAAGGGGAAGAAGGAGCTGGTTGGAGCAAATGGATCCGCTCCAGCCGTTGTGCTGCATGGAAACGACCGGCACGGCGCGCGACAACCGACCTGCTGTAGATGATGCAGGCTCTGGA